AACTGCAAGCGTTGCTGCAGATACATGAGAGTAAAGTGAGGGAGAAAAGATGCGAGGAGCAAGTACTGCAAGTTGAGAACGAGCCAAGGAATGCTCGAGGAAGAGGAAGATGGAACTTCCAAAGAGGAAGAAGTGAAAACAGAGGACGCGGAAGAGGCAGATCGTTTGTGAACAGATTGGCCATTACCTGTTTCAGATGTGGAAAACAAGGTCATTACCAGTTTGAGTGCACAAGCGTGGAGAAGGATGTTAACTACGCAGAGCTTAATGAAGAAGAGGAATTGTTGTTAATGGCCCATGTGGACATAAACAATGATGAGAGAGATAGAATATGGTTTCTGGATTCTGGATGTTCAAATCACATGACAGGAGAGAAGTCGTGGTTTGTTGAGTTAGACGAAGGTTTCAAGCATTCTGTTCGCCTGGGAAATGGCTCGAGTCTGGTGGTTCAAGGAAAAGGGAAAATCAGAATCGAAGTGGAAGGGATCGTACAGGTGGTGAGTGACGTGTATTATGTTCCAAAGCTCACAAATAATTTGTTGAGCATTGGACAGCTGCAAGAAAAACAGCTGACGATCATAATCAAGAATGGAGTGTGTAAGATTTTTCACTTGCAACGAGGACTGATTGTGGAGACACAGATGACCAGAAACCGTATGTTTTTGGTCCATGCTAAGAAGAAGCCGGCCCCAGGAAGCTGTTTCAGAATGGAGGATGAAGACTTGGGAGACCTTTGGCATCGAAGATTTGGACATCTAAACAATAAGTCCATTCAATTCATGCAGAAGAAGGAGTTAGTGAAAGGGATACCCAACATTGTCAACGAACCAAAGGTGTGTACCGTATGTAATGTGGGGAAACAACAACGGAGCAGGTTTCCAAAGAAGAGCAAATGGAGAGCAAATAGAGAAGCTGGAGTTGATCCACACGGATCTATGTGGTCCAATCACTCCAGTCTCCAACAGTGGTAAATGCTATCTGATGGTGTTAGTTGATGATTTCTCTCGGAAAACTTGGATCTACTTCCTTGCAGAGAAAGCAGAGGCTTTCAAGACTTTCAAAGCTTACAAGAGTCTCGTTGAGAAAGAAGCAAAGACCGTGATCAGAGGGCTGCGCACAGACAGGGGAGGAGAATTCACTTCTGATGAATTCAACAAGTTCTGCAGAGATCAAGGCATAAAGAGGCAACTAACTGCGGCATATACCCCTCAGCAAAACGGGGTGGCGGAGAGGAGAAATCGCACGATCATGAATATGGTCCGCTGTTTGTTGTCGGAGAAGAAAATGCCAAGATCTCTGTGACCAGACGCATCCAGATGGACAGCTCATATTCTGAATCGGAGTCTCACTAAGGCCATCAAAGACAAAGTTCCTGAGGAAAGATGGACAGGGATCAAACCGAAGGTGGATTACTTCAGAATTTTTGGATCAGTGGCGCATGTACACATCCCTGTGCAGAAGAGAATAAAGCTCGATGATCGCAGTCACAAGTGCATTTTTCTCGGAGTCAGTGAAGAATCCAAGGCTTATCGCCTATATGATCCAGCAACAAAGAGAATCATCGTGAGTAGGGATGTGATATTCGAAGAAGATGCGAAGTGGGACTGGAAACTGAACATTCCTGAGGAGAGTGAGCTTTCTTGGGGAGATGATGGAATTTCAGATGGCGAAAAAACTGATGAAGAAGCAGAGGGTGGAAGAGAAGAAGATGACAATGTTGTAGCAGAACCTGTGGAGACTGTTCCGATGGTAGGAAACCAGCAAGAGAAAAGTGGAACGTCAAGAAGGCAGAGACAGCAACCCACTTGGATGCAAGACTTTGTTAGTGGTGAGGAAATAAGCGAAGAGGAAGAAGAATTGATGAATCTGGCCTTATTTATTTCTGGTGATGATCCGGTGGACTTTTACGAGGCTGAGAAAGAAGTAAAATGGAGGAAAGCTATGGAGTTAGAGATCCAGTCCATTGAGAAAAACAACACATGGGAGTTGGTTGATCTACCGGCTCATGCGAAGAAGATTGGTGTCAAATGGGTTAACAAAACGAAGTTGAATGAGGAAGGGAAAGTAGAGAAGTGCAAGGCTTGACTGGTGGTAAAAGGTTATGCTCAAACTGCAGGAGTTGATTACACAGAGGTATTCGCACCAGTTGATCGTTGGGACACGATAAGGAGTCTTCTAGCCGTTGCAGCTCAACGAGGTTGGAGCGTCTATCAACTCGATGTCAAAAGTGCATTCTTGTATGGGGAACTGAAGGAAGAAGTCTATGTTGCTCAGCCGGAAGGATTTATCAGAGCAGGGGAGGAAGATAAAGTGTATCGCTTGAGAAAGGCTCTCTATGGTTTAAAACAGGCACCACGAGCCTGGTTTAGTCGCATTGAGAGCTATTTTGTGAAAGAAGGCTTCCAGAAGAGTAGCTATGATCACAAGCTGTTTTACAAGAAAACAGACAACAAGACGCTGGTGGTAAGTCTTTACGTGGATGACTTGATTTTCACAGGCAATGATGAATTCCTATGTGCAGAATTCAAGTCATCTATGCAGAGGGAGTTCAAAATGACTGACATGGGTAAGATGAAGTTCTTTCTTGGCGTAGAAGTTCACCAAAGCAGCAGGGGGATACACATTTGTCAGAAGAAGTATGCGAGGGAGGTTTTGGAGCGTTTCAACATGTGGAGCTGCAACTCGGTTAAAAATCCTATTGTACCTGGTGCAATCATCACAAAGAAAGGAAGTGGGGAAGTTGATGCAACACTTTACAAGCAACTTGTTGGGTGTTTGATGTACCTCACGATAACGAGGCCTGATCTGATGTTTGTGGTGTGCTTGGCAGCTCGTTTCATGGCAGATCCTAAAGAAGAGCATATGTTGATTGCTAAACGAGTACTCAAGTATTTAAAGGGAACATTACTTTGGAGTTTTCTCTGAGAGATCACCAATCTTGAAGCTGATAGGTTACACAGACAGTGACTATGCTCGTGATGTAGACGACAGAAAGAGCACCTCTGGATACATGTTCTTACTGAATGGAGCAGCCGTTTGTTGGAGTTCGAGAAAGCAGGATATTGTTACTCTTTCATCTACAAAAGCAGAGTATGTTGCAGCGACTTCTGCGGCATGTCACAGTGTTTGGTTAACGGGTATGTTGCAGGAATTGGAGGTTTTGAATGAAGTCTGCAGTGACATCTTGTGTGATAACAGCTCGACGATCAAGCTGTCAAAGAATCCGGTTATGCATCGAAGAACAAAACACATTGATGTCAGGTACCATTACTTGCGTAACTTGGTGATTGAAGGGGTTCTGAAGCTGTCTTTCTGCGGAACTAATGATCAGGTAGCCGACATCATGACAAAGCCGATCAAGCTTGATCAGTAGGAGAAGCTGAGGAAGTGTCTTGGAGTTCGGAAAATGGAGGATTAAACTGATGCAGACATGCTTCAGTTTAAGGGGAGGAATTTGTTGGATATTCGATAGGGTCGGTTTAGGATAAGATAAGCAGAGATTTAGGAGATTTGATTTGGTATTTAGATTTGATTTAGTAGTTAAGGTTTCAGTTAGTTATTATTTTCTTGTTTCTCAAGTTTATCATTTAGTTGTAAGGCTTCTTATATAAGCCAATGCTTTCACAGCTTAATAAGATGAGATATTCAGTTTACTCTCTCATTTATAATATTATGGCAAACTCATTACATATTACATTCATTACATACTATGGAAGATTTATTAAACTCTTTGAATATGTTTATATGTACATTCTATATAAATGCACATGCATAAAGCAAACAAAATCCATTCTCAACAAGTATTAGAATATTCCAAAGAAGAAAGGTAAACTAGATTATTAAAAGTTTATAACTATGTTGATTTTCATAGGAAATCTTGGATGTTTTCTGTTGAAGATGATTAGAGATGTTCCTCTCATACCAAATTTTTTTATATTTGTTTTAAATGTGATTTTGGAATACATTTTTTGATAAATTTGTTGTCGTCAGATCCAAGGATATATTCCAAGAAAAAGGTATTGTATCCTCTAGAAAATAAATAATGGCAGCAAAAATGTCTTCATCTCTTTTACTACCTTTGTTGATGGCGTTAGCTCTCATCACCATGCCCATGATATCAGGTAACACATTTTGTTTGTTCAAATGCTAAATGTTCTTAAGATTAATCTAAAATTATCTAAAAATTTTCGAGGTTCTTTGTTCAGTAGAGTCAAAATCACTCGACAAAAGTGTGTTGATATTAGCATTTAACACATTAAAAAAATTGTTTTTCTATAAATAAATTGGCATTATTTACTATTTAGACCTAAATTTTGATGATGAATTTTTTTTTTTGAACAAAATAGGACAAGACCCAGGACGATGTACCGAGGGATGTAAAAGCACAGAAGAATGCACAAAATTATGTATATCCAAGGGGATTTCCGGAGGGAGTTGTCTACGATACGCACATTTAAGACCTCACCCATATGTTGGCGATTATTGTTGCTGCAATTACGCTGATTCTCCTATCTCCAGTACCATATAAATTACTAAATAATCGCTCATTTTATATGTATTTCTCAGTTATGAAAATAAAAAATATATATTTAAATATAAAAAATAATATTATCTCGTCCAAGCCGTATTATGGTCTAATTGTTTATAAAAATCTGATGTACACAATAAAAACCACAAGAGAGTATCAAACGTAAAATTTAACAAATTAGACATCCCAAAATATAAGAGTTTCCAAGAAGCACAACGTCACACCACTCAACCTTTTCCTAAGCACGATTTGAGCGTCTAATTAACGTCTAGTAATATTTTAAACAAAGGGTTTGGATAAATCAAGTGCCCTATCTAATATAAACTTGAATAACAACATACATCGCAACTATCACTAATTAATTACGTGGATGGTCCAGAGAGAACCAAAACTCTCATTTTGATAAAAACAAAATAAAAGAGATAAGTTGCATACAAGAGCAGATAACTACTTAGATATTTCACTAGCCTGAAGAAAATTTCCAATTTATTTCGTTGGCAAGATTCACTTTTCGAAATATCCTAATCATTGCAGAACATAAATTCGTCTCTTTCTTCTCATTTTTTTTTATCAACTTTTGTTAAAAGAATTCTTTCAGTTTTTGTTGTTTTTTTTGGTGCTTTTGTTCTTCCTCAAGCCAATGGCCGATGGATTGCTGTCGATATTCCTCCTTGTTTTTTATTTGTTCATCTCAGGTACATCCATTTCCGTTTTTTCCGGAAAAGTCTTTTCTGGTGTGATGAATCTTAAGCTTAATTGTTTATCGTTTTGTTTTTTAAATGACAGGAGTAACTTCGAGAAACATTACCATAGAGAACAAATGCAATTACACTGTCTGGCCGGGAATCCGGTCCACCAAGGGTTCGCTCTCCACCACCGGCTTCGCCCTCAAGAAAGGAGAGGCGCGTGTAATCTACGCGCCGTCGTCCTCGTGGACAGGTAGTATCTGGGGTAGGTCATTCTGCTCCACCAACACAACCGGTGGTTTCTCATGCGCCACCGGAGACTGCGGCTCCGGAAAAATCGAGTGTTCAAAAGCTGGAACGCCTCCTGCGACTCTAGCCGAGTTTTCCCTCGCCAGTTTCGATGGAAAAGACTTCTACGACATAACAGTCGTCGACGGTTACAACCTCCCAATGCTGGTTGTCCCACAGGGTGACGACACGTGCAGCAGTGTCGGATGCATTGTCGATTTGAACATGACGTGTCCACGCGAGCTAAAGGTGACAAGTAACACAAGCAGCATGATGAATTGATGATGCAGCCAATCGCATGCATGAACGCGTGTCAGAAGTTGAAACTGCCGGAGTATTGCTGTACCGGCGCTTATTCTTCACCGGACCAATGCAAGCCGACACTATATACGCAGAACTTCAAGAATGCGTGCCCACGCGCTTATAGCTATGTTTTCGATGATTCTAGCAGCACCTTCACTTGCCAAAATAGCCCAAACTATGTCATCACCTTTTGCCCGGCGACGACTATTCTCAACACCACCAAGTAAACATCCCAACTCTCTCTTCTATTTCGTCAAAGCGCGTTTTAGTAGAATAGATCACACGGCTTTAATTGTGACCATTCATTCTACAAATACCGTTGAAACTGAAATACTTTTGCTTTATCTAGTCATTTAATATTATTTTCAACAGTGACGTTAGGTATGTAGGGTATAGTGATGATACTGAAATGCACAAGCATTAACTTTGTTATCTTTATTTTTGACGGTTTTATTTCGAAAATTCGAGTTTAAGGCTTGGTTTTGTTAGAATGATATATAGCTACTATATATTAGAGCAGTGTGATAAATTTGAATGTACACTTAACAAAATATTATATTAATCAACAAGTTTTTTTGGTCCACACGGTTATGTGGCCGGTTAGTTTATCTTGAGCCTCCTTTGATATATTTTTAAATAGTTTTCCTTAGAAAAAAATTGAAAAATACTTATAAAATTAACCTACATTAAAATAAATTGGATTCCTAAACTGATCTGTGCGTAGAAGGTTTAGGTCCTAAACTGAGCTCGAACTTCTCTTTAGCACTCAGAGATGTTTAAATACGTACTAGGAGATGGATATTTTACATCTTTATTGTAATCTGATATATATGCATTTTGCTATGTTTACAAACAGTAGTTCAGTGGCTGAGTCTCCATTTCCAGCTCAAACAAAAAATGGAACTCTTGAACCTCCCTCAGAGTCTCAACCAACAAGGGAAGTTACTAAAGAAGGAAAAAGTAAGGTTACATTGTTTTGTTTTTTTGAATACCAAAGTGTATTGTGTATTCATTATTTTGATTAAATAAGAACTCTTCTTTGAAACATTTTGCAGAAAAATCTTCATGGAAGTTAAAACTCATACTCGGTAACATATCTCTCAACCCATGTGACAATTTTTCATATTTACCAGACCTGAGTTTCAAGATTTTGTTCTTTTATTTCAGGAAGCTCAGCATCTTTAGCTGTGATGATCATAATTATGGTGGTGCTATTAGTGAGAGCAAAGAATGCAAGAAAGAGTGATAGGAATGGCGAAAACATTGAAGCGGTTGTAATGTTGAAACGATATAGTTACGCAAGGGTCAAGAAGATGACAAACTCATTTGCGCATGTTCTCGGGAAAGGAGGATTTGGAACTGTCTACAAAGGGAAGTTACCGGATAAAGGCCAAGATGTTGCAGTAAAGATCTTGAAGGAGTCAACAGGGAATGGAGAAGAGTTCATTAACGAGGTAGCTAGCATGAGTAGAACATCTCATGTTAATATTGTTTCTTTGCTTGGATTCTGTTATGAAGGAAACAAAAGAGCTATAATCTACGAGTTCATGCCAAATGGATCCCTCGACAAGTTTCTTTCCGAGAATATGTCAACACAGATGGATTGGGAAAGGTTATTTGACATTGCAGTGGGTGTTTCTCGTGGCCTAGAGTATTTGCATAATCGCTGTGTATCAAGGATTGTGCATTTCGATATAAAGCCGCAAAACATACTCATGGACATAGATCTTTGCCCCAAGATTTCAGATTTCGGTCTTGCTAAGCTCTGTAAAAATAAAGAAAGCATCATATCAATGCTAGACGCGAGAGGAACGGCTGGATACATTGCTCCTGAAGTGTTTTCTCCAAATTTTGGAGGAGTTTCTCATAAGTCAGATGTGTATAGTTATGGAATGGTAGTTCTTGAGATGATTGGAGCAAGGAATAGAGAGAAGTTTGAAAATTCTCAGAGACATGAACTCCTAAACTAGGACCAAAGATCGTGCATCAATCCACAACTTAGTCTAGAAAATTCTCACCAATACACAAGAGATACTAGTCCACTTTTTCCGTCATGCAAAACTTAAACAATCTAAATCTTGATTCCAGTCAACTAGCTCTCTACATTCATTAAGTTCAATAGTGAGTTCTCATTAAAGACATCATCCAGGGTAGACGGCGTTTGACATTAAAGGTCTGTTTAAGTGGTGGAGTTAAAGTGTTTCGGGTTACCTGATGAATCTGGAGAATGCAAGATAATATGCAAAACCGCAAGAGAGATAAGGACCTGTTGATGACCGCAATTTTCAGTCACTTCTTCTTGCCAAATGTTGTTGCATAATCCTTCCTCCTTTGTTGTGAACAGCTATTCCCCCAGACTTGGATTCTTTCCGGGAATCAGAAAATGATCTCCAAAACTCCATAAAATCAAACTCCAGTTGCCTTGGGACTTAAAATTCGACCTCTCTAGACTCTCTAAGGCTTTTATTTCCTTTCTTTTCTTATTTTCGGATTTTTTTTTTTTGGAAAGGAAATGTCTTTTAAAGAGAGAGAGACTAGAGGACGAGATTGTACCAAAATTTGAGATTTTTATAAGGCAAACTGAGCTTCCTCTTGTGTTGAATCCTTCCGGGAACTTTTCCGGCAAATCGCAGGTCTCTGTCCTTGGTGACTGAAAACTGCGTCGTTCTTCTTTCTCTCCAACGTTTTTGCACTTATCTGCATATAAGACAATAGAAAACAAGAGTGCATGTGGTTTGAAAGAGGATTGGTTAAGGTGGGGAACTAGCTAAAGATGAACTAGCCATTCAGGATCAACAGAGAGTGGTAAAAAGGGTAAGGAGTCCTGAATGTATGATTCGTTTCCCTGGTCTAATGCTTCAATGAGGGAATTAAGTCCAAATTAAGTCCAAATAAAACAGAGCTAGTATGTTCCTTCATCTAAATCGAAATCATTCAAATTCCTCTAGGGTACTTCGTTTCAAATGTGCTTAGCTTAGTCTAGTCCTAAATCATGAATGAGCATGTCACTAGGAACAATCTAAAAGCACACAGTCAACTATCATTGATTCATGTTCACCATTCCCTTTAAAATGTATTTTGTTTTGAAAACCGATTTTAAAAAACTTTAAGGAAAATGCAAAAAGTGTAGATAATGCAAGACTCATGAGAGAAAAGTGGTTAGAAAGGGATGAAATCCTCCCCCAGACTTAAATCACACTGTCCTCAGTGTGAAACAAGTCGAGATTGGATGAGAAAAATGCATAGATAATCGAATTGGTAAGGCCAAAGAGAACTTACCTGGATCCGGGATGCTGGTGGTGATGAACCGGATTCATTCGAAGAGGTTTGGGAAGGTGATAGGTGGTGATGAAGGTGGTGGAGGGTGATGAATGAGGTGGAGTGGGGATTGGTGAGGTGAAATGAGGTGAAGTGGGTGGTTTGGGGTCGGGTTTGATCTCAACAACCATTGGTTAGGAGCCACGCGACCGCGGAAAACCGGTGCTCGGCCGCAGTCAGAAAGACGCGGCCGCGGTCGATCATGCGTTTCCCGCGGTCAGAGCATCTGCGACCGCGGGGGCTTATATCGCAGCCTGTTCCTGCTTCTCCTTGGTTCCTGCTGGGCCGAGCAGTCAGGGACCATCCTTTTTTTTGGTTTTTTTGGGTTTTTTGATTTTTTTTTTGGTTTTTTTTTTGTTTTATAAGAAACACCTGAAACTAAGAAAAAGAAAAAGATCAATAGAAAAAGAAAGAAAAATCCTAAAGAAAACAATACCTAAATGGGTTGCCTCCCATTAAGCGCTTCTGTTTTAAGTCGTTTAGCTCGACTTTTGGTGTTGGACGTGGCTTAGTCCAATGAAGAAGACCTTGTCCTGAGACAAGTCTTTTTCGACATCTCCTTGCTTTGCCTAGCAGGTTCTTCGTCACTCCAAAGCTCTTCTTCAAATTCTTCTGTTGCAGAATGTTTTCCTGCTTTGCTGTTGTATGAGACAGCTTCTGTGAAGACATCTTTGTCGATATTAGCAAACGAAATCCTCCGGTTTGGCCAGTCCATTATAGCTCCAGAAGTTGCTAGAAAAGACCATCCGAGAATCACTGGATATGTTCCGTCTCTCGTTTCGACAATGTAGAAGTCGATAGGCACGATACAATCTCCTATTCTCAAAGGAATTTCATGAGCTATTCCTTGAGGCGTTGCATTGGAATCATCAGCTAGACTAATCTTTGCTCTAGTCCTGCGCAGGTGTTTAATACCAAGTCTCAAAGCAATTTCCTTGGACATCATGTTGAGACAAGCTCCAGAATCACAAAGCACGTTTTTAAACATTTCTCCTCTAATAGAACAAGAGATAAGGAACTGACCTACACCTTCGATTTTGTGAAGTGTTCGAACAGGTTTACCTCTTCTGGCATGATTGAACAAGTCTTCTATCTCAGGGATTGATTCCTTGCTCTCACAGAAGTAATGGCCTATCATGAAGTCCTTGCAAGCTCTAGCAAAGGTGATTCCTTCAGGCAAATTTCGGACTACATCATTGAATTCATCGAGCTTTTCCTTGTTGATTTTGTTGGTGTAGTGGCTGCAGTCTTCAGGCTTTTGAGGTGAATCGCATAGACAGCTGCTTCTGGTGTTGTCATGTATCGAGCTCACATAAAGTATCTATGGATATCCTCTTTAGACTCCTTGCAGTACCTGAAAAAAACTTGCAAACAACCAAGCTTCCAGATTTCATCAAAGCTTAGGTGAGCAGGGAATGACCGGACCATGTTGTTGAACTCTATGAGCTTCTCTCTACTGATGTTGTTGGTGATCCATTGAATTTCTCCTGAACTGTCTTCTGAGGAATATCCTGCGTTTGGATCTTCTACAAACAACCCATACTCTTCATCTTCAGATTATTGTTCTTCATACTCATCTTCACAAGACAAAGCCATGTTGCAGGGCATTGACTTGTCCTTGTCTTCAGATCTTTGGGTGCTGATGGAGCAAACCAGTTGTTGATGGAGTGGTTTGGTCATCCCAGGATGTGTATCAGTCGCACAGCTGCTTGTATGAGCTGAACGGGACTGTTTTGGAACGTTTTTCCGGTTGGCCTTGACTGCAGGGGACGTGACCGCGGGAAAACGCCCATGGGCCGCGGGTAGACCAAGCACGACCGTGGGAGGAGGCATCTTGGCCGCGGTCGGAAGCGACGCGACCGCGGGAAAGTGTCTCTGAGTTGATTTGCTGCTGTTGCTTGCTCCTTTGCTTCCTAGATGATCTCCTGGGTCTTCTAGCTCGATGTACTTCCTCTCTGGAATTGAGTCTTTAGTTTTGGTTGCTGGAATCTGCTCTCCAAGTCCTTGTATGATCTCCTCAACCTTTTTTCCAACTTCATCAAGAGCATAGACTACTTTGTCCATCGTTGAGTCAAGCTCTTCGGTTTTGTCAATGACTTTGTAAACCTTCTCTGAAACTTCGACTGTGAAGTCATAGGACTCGTTCTTAGCTTCGTTGAGGGCTTTGTCCACATCATCGAGTTTGAAATCCAGGTCCATGACTTTGTTTTTGCTGTTGCGAAGCTCATAGGTGTGCTTTGCTTGCTCTTCCTCCATGCTGCCGAACCTGTTAGCGATCATAACTGTGTCCTTGGTTGCTCGTTCTTCTATTGATTTGACTTGTGAGGCTAGGTTATCGATCTTCTCATTGAAAAGTTTCGATATCCCGTCAATCCTTTCGTTGAAAGCGGCTATAGCGGTTGCTTGAGCTTCTATGAACTGCTTGATCACGCCTTTGAGCTGACTCAATCGGTTACTGAGCTGGACGTTCTCATCTTGGTGGAAAATCTGGTGAGGTAGGCGATACATAGGATGTCTAGGGTTTGCCATTGGAGGTACGTACGGCTCGTTCTGGAACATTTTGTAGTCTTCGGTTCGAATTTCTTCGTAGAGATCGCGTAAGTACTGCTTCTCTCTGTGTCTGGTGGCTTGAGGAGTGTTGTAGAAACCTTCCTCTTAGTGTGGATTTCGATTTATAGGATCCATATCTTCTGAAATGGAAACAAAATAACCGAAAAATGGAAATATGCAGAAAAAGGGGTTCTAGAGTCGATTTACCAACCTTTCTTAGGGTTTTGCGGAAAAGAAAACGCGTGCCTTCCCCGGCAACGGCGCCAAAAACTTGATGTGGTCGTGTGTGAGGGTGTCAAGTTTTACCCTAAATGAAATCAATAGCCGCAAGTGCACAGCTGATCGATTGTAGTACTTAGGGATCGAATCCACAGGGAAGGAGGATCTTTCCTGCAAAAGCCTTCGAAAAAAATATAAAGTAAGGAAGTCTAGAACCAGGCGAGTTTTGTGAGGGTATTGGTGGTGTGTTTAAAACGTAAAAACAAATCCTAAAGAGAAAATACCGGAATTAAAATAACATAATAACTAAACTTAACAAAAATGGGTAAAAACGAGTAAAACGGCTAACCTAATTGCTTAAATGAAAATCGATTGAAAGAGTAAAGATACTAGACTAAAGCTTGAATGAAAATTGGTGTAAATCTATAAGAAAAGAGGCGCTGGGGTTCAGGGAAGTTTTCTCAGGGGTATGAACGATTCAAAACATTGCTAGAGAGTAAAATTGATAAGATCTTAGCTTAAACTTTTCGAATTGGAGTCACGGACGTATGAATACGCCACTGTCGTGATCATAGACAACTATCTCTCTCAACCCTGACCAGTAGGTTTCCACTCTGGCCCTGGAAAAGAAGAGATTCATTATGTTTAAGACTCGTCAGGATTCACAAATCTCCCATAGGTAGGTTTCCACTCCTATGTTTGTTTTGCTCTCCCAAACTAGATCTGACACCGGATGAACACTTTCGTGTCACCAAGCATTTGGATCAGATTGTAGTTCATGAAGCTACTCTCATGCAGTAAAAACGAATTCAGAAGAAAAAGTTCTAAGATTCGGCTCAAAAGCTCATGGAATCCTCACCGAACATATATAACCCCATCGAAAATCCCTTAATCCCAATAATAAAACTACTCAGACATGATGAACGAAATCAAAAACATAGTATTAAAAA